CTCTCTCTCTCTCTCTCTCTCTCTCTCTATATATATATATATATATATATATATATAGACGGACGGAGTATAGGGCAAGGAAAGAAGACTGTATGGCTATGGCTAATCCATACGAGAGCATCGTCATGCAACCCAGAAACACAGAGGGGCCACCTCATGATCTCGACTTGAGACACTCTCGCAAGCTGATGTCCCTTATCCGACGAGAGAAGTATGATGAACTGCGGATGGAATGCCAGAAGACGGAACCCGTCAACTTCATGGAGGACCCTTTGCTCAGCGTGGTGATCGCTTGCAAGAAGACCAGCCTCGCCATGAGGCTTATCCGTGACCTGACGACGGATCAACTCATGCAGTATAACTTCAAGGGCGACACGGCTCTTCATGTCGCTGCCGCCGTGGGTGACTGCCAAGTGGCCAGGGAGTTGTTTACCAGGAAAGGTGAACTCGTCGGTGTACGGAACCATAATATGGAGACACCGCTGCATAAGGCGGCGCTCTACGGGAACTGGGACATGTTCTTCCGGCTGTTAAGCGCCGGTAGCGACCTGTTCGCTCGGAAGGAGGACGGCAACAACGTCCTTCACTGTGCCATCATGGGCAATGCGCCGGGTAATTAGATTAAATTTGGAGCCCCCTCATTCAAAAGATTCCGATACGCATGAATAAAATGCATCTTAGTTGTTGTCTGAGGCCAAGTCTCAACTTGGGATGCAGAGCTTGCGATGGAGATTGCAAGACGAGCGCCAGTGCTGAACTTCTTGAGGAATGCTGACGCCGTCACCCCGTTGCAGCTGATGGTGACCATTCCCGAGTTATTCCGAAGCCAAACACCACTTAGTCCCCTCGAATCCTTGCTCTATGATTGTAAGCGCTTCTCTACTCTTATGTGGGAAAAGAACGGTGGATTGTTAGAATTACGGCGGAGTCGTGGAATAAGAATGACGATATAAGTCTAATTTTATTGGCTTAAAATATTCAAGCTTACAACTACCATCTCATCTCATCTCATCTATTATCGAGAGATAAGAGTACAAAAGTGTACTCGTAAAAGGACAGAGAAATATTTTTTTCACTTGCTAAAATATCTCGACACCTTTGTAGACATATATGGGATTATATCTTCCACAAGCATTTTATCTTCTTCTAATATATTCTCTATTTAGCTAAAAGACTCATATACATGTTAAAATCTTCCTTCATCCAATTACACGAGTTCCACTAAAATGCAACTCAATTGGTGCCACGGAATCACATATTTGTGCACAATGGGAATCAAATTAATGATCAGGAAAAGAACTTTTTGTGGCATTCTAAAATCGAGAATCATCACAGATAGATCCATGCTTGCTTTGGAGTTTCAAACGGCAAAGAAGAGGAGAGACTTTTGCAAATTTCTTTTATGGTTTTTCTTCGCATTTCTCTCGTTCTATATGATAGAAGATAAGATTTCTCCAATCATACGAGGAAATCTCTCTATTCTGTTCTTTCTCCTTATCTGTATAAATAGGAGAAGGAACATGTTAATGTATTGATGCATTTTTCATTTCTTTAATAAAACTTCTTCACTTCTTCAATAATTGTTCTTATCTTCTATATCGTATCAGAGCAGTGAGAAAAGCAAAGTTTCGCTCGGAACATGTTAATGTATTAAAGCATTTTTCATTTCTTTAATAAAGCTTCTTCAATAATTGTTTTTATCTTCTATTCTTTTTATCACTCTCAACATAGAGGAAAGAGAGGATTATCAAAATACCATATTTTTTATTTTTATTTCTTGGTGTGTACATGTGACAGTTTCTTTTTCTTTCAAGTTTGATCATAAATCTTCAAGAGTCTGAGACTTAAAATAAAAAATAAAAAACCCTCTATTTCACATAAATCAAAGTTCTTGGGACTCAAATCACTATTCGAAAGCACCAGAAATTTATCTTGCTACAACAGTTCTTGATAATTGTGGCTGTGATAAGGCTCAGAAAACACCGAGTAGGAAAACACCAACATCGATGCTCGTAGAAAAATTAGTATATTTGGTTTTACATTTCAGGGATTCCTTTGGAACGGCAGGACTCTGGTGTGATAAATCCTGGAGATGTAGAGAAGGTATATATATGTATAATCTTTTGTTAATTTATGCTTTATATGGCAGCTTAAAAATTTCTGAGTATCTCCGTGGAATCCACTATTATTTCTGTGTCTCTTTCTTACTTTATTATCCATCTACTACATGTAATCACAAGCGTGTTGGAGATACAGAAGAAGAAGAAGAAGATGATGTTGGAAATGGTTCAAAAATCCCATCTCACTACAGCACTCTCTTTGACCTATTGGAATTGTTGAAGATCCCAGGTCCGTACTCGTCGTAGCTTCTCTATTCACGATCGAGGTTACAGTACTGATTCGTGCTATTTTTGTCCATGCAGCCGGCTGGATTCTACTACTTGTTTACCGAGTTTGTAGGCAACGTGAGTTACATTTCTAGCACACTATGCGATAGATGTGTGTTTTGTGTTGCATGACCATCCGCACACCTATACAATCAACACGGTAAATAATCATTGGTAAGTGTCGCCTCTTCTTACGTTTGGCAGTGTCGCCTACCATGGAACGACTGGAGAAGCTAAAGAGACATCATAAAGCGGCTATGGTACTTATCGAGCTCTTAGCCACATCAGGATACTTCGATTTCCTTCTCAGCGGTCGCAGCGGAATAGATTCCAGTGACCCAATGAAACAAGTTCCCGCTGAATCAGTGATGGTGGCGACGATGATGGCGTCGGGCGAACCTGATACGGAGACCGAACGACTGGAAACGGAGGATCGCCCATCTGAGAGGGGAGATGCAAGTGCAACGCAAGGGCAAAACAAAGGTAAGCGCCCCGACATAAGATGGCACGAGTCCCCGTTGATCACCGGTGCCAAAATGGGCCTCCATGACTTCGTCCGGAAAATTCTACAAGTATGCCCACACTCAGCAACGTATCTCGACACGCACGGCACGAGTGTTCTTCAGGCGGCCATCAAATACGGTCGCAAAGAGATCGTGGAAACTATCGTTGAGATGACTCAGGGCGACCTCCCCATTCTACCCGCCTGGCTACTGTCCAGCATCGACGCGGAGTCCCGAAACACCATCCTGCATTTTGCTTCTGACAAAACCCCTTATGCCCAGGCAGATGCAGTCCAACTCCAAGATGACCTTAAATGGTTCGAGGTGCATATTTTACCTCCTCGATGCTGCCTTAGCGTTTGCAGTCAAAACAAAAGAGTTAATGGCATTATATATTTGTATGTATGGATGCAGAAGGTGGCAAAGATTGTTCCCAAAGAACTGGCCAACAGTCGAAATAGCGAAGAGAAGACAGCACAAGAACTGTTCGCTGAGAAGCACCAGGAGATGTTCAAGGGCTGCAGGAGCCAACTTATAGACATGGGGAAGACATGTTCCGGCCTTCTGGCAGCCGTGGTTTTCGCGTCCAGCTTCTCCATCCCCGGCGAGAAGGACCCCAAGACCGGCAACCCAGTTTACTACGACATGCCTGCCTTCAAGGTCTTCTCCCACGCCTACGTCATCGGCTTGTCCTGCGCCGTCACCTCGCTGGTGTTGTTCTTATCCCTCGTCATCTCACCTTACTCCCAGCGGCAGTTCCGTCTGGCCATCCCCGTCAAGTACTTCTTTGCCATCCTTTCTTTTGCCATGGCCCTGCTGGCTCTCATGGTGTCATTCACCTGCAACATCTTCCTCCAGATCTACGGTGGGCAGCCGACGACCACAAGGGACCTGCTTCCACTTGTACTGGAGCTCACCGTGTTTCCCACCCTCTGCCTCCTTGCGCTGGTCTATTACGGCGCCAATCTTTTTCCATCTTTTCGTCGTATTTGGACGTAGTCGATACGCATATCGTACGTTCCGCCTTTGTTATGTTCTTCCCAATGTTTCACTCATCTGTACGTCCGGTGCGTTTTGACGATGGTGTGTGATGCATTTCCAGGATGCGACAATAATATGTTTTGAATTTTCGTGTGAAATTTTGACTCTCGACGTCGTATGATTCTACCGACCGATAAAATGCTTCTTCTTCTTCTTCTTCTTTATTATTTATTCTTTGCAAAAGATAATAACAATCATAATAATCCATTCTGGTTTGTTACGTAAGATACAAGCTAATCAAGAACATATTTAATCCAAATTCCTCTTCCTTCCGGAGAAAGATTCGTGTAGCTTAAGCACTAATAGTCTCTGCCGAGATCTCTGTTGTGACATCTTGATTGGTTAGTGCACATATGACACGTGTAAGAATTATTTGATATAATGAATTTTTTATATTTTTTTGAAAAAAATAACCTCAAATAGTTAGAACACTATGATTTCTTTCTGAGAATAACTACTGTGCATCTCAATAGTGGATCAAGCTATTTGGACCGGGCCTCACTGGGGGCGCGGAGGGCCCTCCCATGGTCTCAGGGAGCGCGATCGATCTCGGGCTGGCGCAGATCCCCAGATCTCGACTAAACCCCAGGGTATTATTATTTCTCGGCTTCGTCTTCGGTCTTTCGTGTTCTTGTTTGCAGCCCAATGCATCATCTTGGTGTGCATTTTGTGTCAGGAGCAGCGAAACGGCGTCGAAGTGCGTATCTCCCATCTTTATGATCCCATGCGGAGTTCATCTCGTCCGAATCGCACGAGTTCGTCGGGAACTGTTTGTTTATCTCGTCCCGGGTCGTCGTCCAGGTGTTTGTGAAAAGGTCAGTTCTTTTTTCTGAAGTGTTCGTACATGGCCATATGCGTAGCTACATAGTTGTAGTTCTCTTGATCTGCATATCCTCTGTGCGCAATCTCGTGACTACGTAGCCTATTAACACTTCCCAACAATCCCACAAGCAATGGTTCGTTTCAATAATATCATTAACATGATCGACGTACAAGAGCGACTTGCACGTTCGATTTGCCTCATATATGCATCATTACTAGCGGGAGCTAAATGTATAAAGATTGTTGTCTGAGAACTCTGAAATTAAATTGCAGTTGTTTTGATTAACGAAGTTTTTTTCATTTATATTAACATGAATATATATAGGAAAGGAGAAAATGAAAAAAGAAGCTAGTTATGATTTAATAACACTTCCTTCTTAATCTGTGATCGCATGAGATGATCAAGCTTTTCCTGTTGATACTGCTTAACCAAATTCATATCATATGTTCCTTCAATTTACACAGCAAAAAAAAACAAGAGAAACAAACAAGGAAAAAAAAATTGAGGAACCCACATAAACAGAGGTCAAGAGTAAACACAATAATCGATAAGAAAAGAAAAGAGAGAGAGAGAATTTTGATGCAAGAGATAAACAGAGCTTTATTTATTCTTCTTCTTCTTGCTAAGACTTTATTTTTTTTTCTTTACTCACTATATCTCTATTCGATCATGAAAAATCATATTCATGTATTTGGATGACTAGAGATAGAGATTTTTTATGCAAGAGATAAATAGAACTTTCTTGATAAGACTTTAATTTTTTTCTTTACTCACTATATATCTATTTGATCATGAAAAATCACATTCATATATTTGGATGAGTAGAGACAGATTTTTTATGCAAGAGATAAATAGAACTTTATTTCTTCTTCTTCTTCTTGATAAGACTTTAATTTTTTTCTTTACTCACTATATCTCTATTTGATCATGAGAAATCATATTTATGTGTTTGGATGACTACATTCATAGACTTCTATTGTGGGTAACCTATTAAATTTACTATTGATTTTTTAATCTTCATAAGCCATGAAATCTTTATCTTTATGATCATCTCTACACTGTGTTGATGAGAGAGCTTTCAAACCCATCTTTTAACAAGTTTAATTTTTATTTAATAATAATACCTTCCAGACCTATAAACAAAACGATTTGAAGGATTAGCTAGCATTGACTCAAATCGACCACAGATCACCATTCTAGCTAGATGAGGAGGATTACCACCACTGCCAAATTCCAGTGACCGGATTACGACAGACATTCCATTCCCTTATCCGGAGAGGTTTCTTCCACGATTCCTGCACTTGCAGTCAACAACCACTTCACAGGAGGCACCTACCCTCCTATCTCTTTCTCTCTCAGTTTCATTATTTTCTCCAGTGGACTTCCTGCAAGCATGCATATGAATGTTTCATTCCTTCACGAACCTTCCTTCTTTCGTCCGAGCACTTTCTGTGGATAGAATGAAAGCTCAAGATGTCATCAGATACGTAACAAGGATTCCTGTAGCCCATAGTAAGGACACATCTTGCATGTGAAAGACCACCTGCAATATCAAGAAATGCAATGGTCCAACACAGTCCCAACACATGTAAAGTGGCACTCGATCAATTAGCAGTGGTTAGAAGCCGATGCACGAAGGAATGGTTCGACGTGGAGACCTGCCAACATTTAGTCAAAGTAGTATGATAAAGATAAAGCCTTTTCTGAAGAAACATCTGAGCTTAGTCTTTCTGAAATGCTGTGGAACAGTAATCCTTTCTTCTCAAGTTTGACCCACATTAGTCATTGGCATCCATGTTTCTTGCATTTAGCTAGATCAAGCTTCTGGTTTTAAATCGAGTCAAGTTTTAGTTCTGGATATAGCTGTCCACAAACAAGTGATTTAAAATGTCATCATTGACGATCAAAAGTCATATTAGGTTTTTTTAGCCTTTGTAGAAAATTCACAGAACTGTTCTTATCCAAAATATCAATCAAACATTCGAAATCTATTTTCACTTTATAAATATAGTAGTTCATTGATAGTTATATCAGCATATGAACAAGTCCTCCTTCATTTGTAGCTAAATCAAACTGAACTGAGCGACTACTCATTAAACAAATGCACCAGAAGATGAACTTGTCGTAGACAAATTTCATATATGAATTATAAGAGTTCTTCAACTTTTCTTCCAAATGCAAATATTGTAAAACTATCAAAAGAATTCTTTTCCTGGTGTTTACCTATTTGTGTTGGCTTTTGATGCTTATTATTATTATTTTTTCATGTCTTCGTTCTGCCTAATATTCTTTGATATGATGGGTAATAGGATGTCACACTCACATCAACGTAGAGTGATATGTGTAACTCTTTTTGTTGCAAATCCATCTAGAGAGAATAAATTCACCTCTGCCTAACAACTCTGTCACGAGATATATTAAAATGAATGCGGCCCATGTTTAACACTTTATGTCAACATCTCCATATAATATTTCTAATAGTTCAACAAACCATCAATTTGTATTGGAGGGATTTCCATCACAAAAGCAAAAGCAAGACAAGAAGGACAATAAGTTGGATTGGGTGTTTTCTTCTGATTAAAGAAACACCGAATTCATTTGTAAGTCTAGCAAGACAGTAAGATGGTAGACTAAATGTGTTCATGCATTTCCCGAATGACTAGATAGGAAACTATCTTTTTCTTAGAACAGAACTAAAAGAAAAAAAGAAAGACCAAATTGAAAGATGAGTTTGAACATTCATTTCTGGTGCTTTGAATGTTTGCAGAACTATATGAAATAGGTTGGGGGACTCTCTAGAAGTAAACTCCAAAATGCTTGAATAGTAATAGTAAAAGCATATAATAGCTTCGGCTCAAGAAAAGAAAATTGCCTGTTACTTGCATCACTGATAGGAACTAAGAAAATGGACTCTGTAAGTAATTGCTTGATATTTCTTTCACAGATCGAGTGGATGTACATCTAAGTCTCTATCGACTCTTAGAAAACTCCAAAGTGATGGTCATCCATAAATAGCGTAAACGCCTTATTTTAGACTTTGAACCAAGAAACAACTACATAGAGTGTACATGTGTACCGCAGAAATGAAAACTTAGACTAGTTTGTTGTCTTCATCACATACATCAACCATGCTGACATTGATTGATGGAGCTACTTGAGGTGGGAAAGGTTAGCTGTGATCTCACGAGGCACGCAGCGATGACAAGAATTAGGGAGCAACAAGAGAGAGACTTGCCGTGTGGGGAAGGAGGTTGCTTGTTCTTGGGGTTCAAATGTTTGACTACCATTGACATCACAGAAAAATAAAAGAATACAAATGAGGCAGTGCAATAATTGTTCATTAGACTCTTCAGTACTCCTTAGGAGGGTATGAAACTTAAAAGGTGTGTATTATCTGATCGTGAGCCAAATTATCCTTGGAAAAGTTCAGCTTAAGGTTCATCAGAAGCCCATAAATGTAGACAAGAATGAGAGTGCCAAGATGTAGAATGGTTTGCCGTTAAAAAAAGGATATTAGTTACCTTTGGGTTAAAAAAAAGGTGATTTTTTTCATTTCAATTTTTTTGATGAAATCTTATTAGTTTGTTCAATTTATACTTTATTTCTTGAAAAAATGATACGGCAATTCCTGCATAATTATAGATAGAATTGAAGTTTAAATAATCATGGATGATTGGTCCATAAAGTGGAAGTGCTTGAGTTTGTACACCTATAATAAATTAGCAACATAGTTGATTCAACATTCCACACCACCAAACAAATCTCAGCAAAAGAAAGAAAGAAAACTTTACCTTGTTTTACAGATTCCAAGTCAAGTTCATGTTCCTCATATTTTGAACTTCTTCCAAGGCCTGTTTTCCCATAACAGAACACATTCAAGTGGAATCCTTCTATTGCCATACATGTTGCTCTCTCCTGCAGTCAGTAGTAATGTAATCGATTCATCTTTCAAGCTGCTGCTGCTTCCACCAGAATAGGGAAACAAAAATGCAGTACTCCCAAGGACAGCTTATTTGATGTGCCTGGCTGTTCCCCTACAACCCAGCTGCAGATCCCCACTCCCTTCTGGTAGGGCACACCGGTGGGAAGCGGAAGGAGGCAAGGAAAGGGGAAGATGGATGGCATGTGGCATTCTCTTTGGGCCCCGCTCCCCTCTTATGCTCGAAGCGATCACTGCGAGGTGTCAAAAAGTTGGGGAAAAGAGTGACCGGTGAACCCTTGGAGAAAGGTCTTTAGATTCCTCAGCTTTGACCACCGAAAACTTGCAATGAGGAGAAGATGGGTGTTGTTTTCATGTGGAAGATAGAAACCATGGCGCAAGGTAACAAGTCTGATCGTTCCATGTTGTGCTTGGGCAAAGGAAATTTTGTTGGTTTGTAGCATGCATGCATCACACACACACAACATTTACATGTATAAATTTACTTAGAGAAGATGTTAAAGTTTAGCAAACTTATTAGGAGATAGAGAGTGGTCATGAAATGAAAAGTAATTAATAGAGATGATGCCAAGTGGTTAATACTTGATGAAAAGGAAACTTAGAATCAGGTACTATGGCTTGATGAATTTACCTCTAGTAATTAATCTCTAATTAGCAGTTATACATTAAGCTTGAAGTCTGACCATGTGTTTTAACTTCATTCATTATTAGGCCTTCTTGAGTTTACACTTTGCAACATGATATGGACAAAGTGGAAGAATTTTAATGCCTCAAACCATGAAGAGGACCACACTATATCTATCACTCCACAAAGTTATATCTAGATTGGCAAATAGACATCCTAATTTTGTGTGTATGTGGGTGTAGAGGGAAACAGATGCGGTTAGACACACTATTATTATCCTTAAAACACCATGTGATGTTTGTCAATAAATTAGTGTTTGTTCAAGACACAGTCGTTTGTATGTATTAATTCTACGTTACTGTGCAGGCATCAGAGGCCCCCACAAGCCTATCTCCTCTTTCTGTGCCCCTGACTGCTCTTTAACTCTTTAAAAAGGAGCAAGCAGTGGAGGAAGGGGAGAAAGCACTCATCTTGCTGAGGCTGGCAAGCAAAGCTGCACTCGTCTTCCCCCAAAAAAGGAACACAAAGTTTCGTCTCTGTGTTCTTTCTGGTGTTGTTGATTTGATGGAAACAGAGGCACAGGCTGTGGTGGCCAAGAGGTCATCTGCCTCGCGGTTCAGAAGGGTGTGTGTCTTCTGTGGCAGCAGCCCCGGGAAGAAGGCCAGCTACCAGCTTGCAGCTACCCAGCTCGGGCATGAATTGGTTAGTCTTCCATCGTGTTGTAATCAGCTCGTCGCCTGTAGGATTTGTAGAATTGATTCAGACCCATCTCCTCTTCGGCTTCGTTTTCCTTGACATCTTTACCCTGCACTATGGTAGAAGTCGTTGGACTCTGATGTGAGGACGAATGCTCTGTTTTTGCAGGTCCAAAGGAACATAGACTTGGTGTATGGTGGGGGAAGCGTTGGCCTCATG